TGGATAGCAAACTGTGCGATATTTATTTTCTGCCATCTAAAAATATTAAAATTTGTTTTTGTTAATATACTTGCACATAATTTTATTAGTAATATAAAACTGTTTACCTCTGATGCTGTAAACGTGACAAAACAACAAAGGAGGCAGTAGACTTCAAGCGACATCTGTCAAACAAGATCAAAAATCGACCATWTTTGAGCAGTGTTGCCTGATAAAATTTGCTAATGCATATTAGCGCTGTCGTCTGTCAGGGCTATTATAAAAAGGTATTTCATATCAAGTTAACCTCTTACTTGCGATGATGCGCAACATACCCCACTAACCATCTTATTAAACTCTAATTTTCTTACGCAATTTTTCCTCCGAAAGAACCCCTTGGAAATAGTTTAAGAGCAAACTAATTATTTGCTGGTATCGATTTCCAACCGGGATTGTGGCCTATGCACATATGGTACCCAAGGAATAACTTCACATTTGCTTGCCTTCTCTTAGGTTAACGACTTTTGCCGCATTTGTCTTGTTGTTGTTCTTTCGGATGAGTCAATAATTGCGATTTTTATTAATGGATATTCAACGAATCATCAATAACGAGTACACAAACAACTATAAAGTCTCTCGAGATGATAATAATGATGGACGAACTCGTTAATAAATTGCTGCAATATTATTGTGGCCGCCAACTTGTTCAGTGAGCCAGAGCATACAATATATAATTATATATGTTTAGAAAAATGTTGAAGATTCTTGAAACTGGAAAGAAAGAATTTAGGGGCACATCTAGTATCATTGCAGAACAGAACAAAAAAAAAAACACTACTGTCAATTTGTTTTTAACCTTTAAGGGAATATTTATCTATGCGTATTTTAAGAACTCATAGTAAAATTTTTAAGAAAAAATGAGTTATTTTTCCTTCATTGATTAAAGATAAACTGATTATCTCATTGTACTTAACGGCTGCACTTTACAAGGCTGTAATTCAAAAACTATTCGAGATGTTGCTTCAAAAGTTTTTTGGTTTTTTCAAAGATATAACCCATCGAAATCAGAACTGTGGGTAAAAATAGTAACACTTCATGTTAATATATTGTGTCTAATAATCTCGGTATAGTTCATAATTTTTTAGTGTAACCGGCGTGGCATTTTAATCGTGCTTAGATTTATAAATGGTCAGTTACTGCTGGTTCATCAACATAAAKCATTCACTCGATCATTTTTGGACATAGCGCGTAGGCCAATGAGATTGCACTGGGGAACCGGTTATGTGTGTGTGTAGCGACGATTGTTAGCAGCAATACTGACTTCATTTTAATTTTTTAAAGAAGTATGGACAAATATTTGCAACTGAACCATCCTAGACAGTAACTTTTTTTGAATGCAAGATAACGTAGAGTCTTCTCAGAACTGTTCACATTCTAAATATCACAATTTACCTTATTTAGGTGTCTGTTATTTCTGAAATGTGCCTCATAAGATTTTTAGTAATTCCTCTTTTCCACAAAGTCAGAGCTTACTGAATATAAATGTCAAGCTTTTTAYTTTGACAACTACTTTGACAGCTGATTTGGTTGCTATTCCTCTAGAAAATTCTATAACTCTAAAATCAACTTTGTAAGTTCATTTCTTTCTTTCTTAATCAACAATGTTTTATTCAGAGGAACATCTTGTTGCAAAGAGCGTGCCCCGTTTTCTAATATTTATGCTTCAATAATTCATTTCCTTAAAGGGTATTAATATGAGGGTTTGTATTGCGGAAAGTTACATGCATAAAAGATAAAGCAAGGTTTCGCATACTATATTTAACTTTGGGTGGATAAATATATGYGTATCAGTGTGAGCATAAACCTTTCTACATATACACACAGCCTCATAAGAGYCAGTTGTGTGGGAAACTTTAAACTTTACACTCCGCGAGAGACATAAATTCGACGGAATCAATATGAATTGCCAATGAGCAATTCCGTTGAGACACACTAAATTGCGCTGGTGGATGTGGATCAGAGGGATAAGCGCTAAGAAATGAAACKGTTGAAATATGCAGTGAATAAATTCGGTGAAATTGAAATCAAACCAACTGTTCGCCACACAGATTCTCTAGCACATTTTAGTTGTAGGTATGAGTGTATGCGTGTGCAGACATAAAAAATGGCGATATTAAAATTTGTTGTTCTAAATCTTGAAAATCTGCAAATCTGCGYAAATATTTTAGAGCGGAAATGAAAATTTCAATTCTACTTTGCTCCAGATTTGCCTTGSCAATATTAATCGTGGTGGGGATAAGCCGTTGGAGTTATATGCTAACGGTGAAAATGAACAGAAAAAACAGCTTTTATGCGACCACCTAGCGTGKCTGAAGGCTGCAACGAGTAATAAACGTAGATATCCTTCGGCGTAAATAATGGTTATTAGAATATTACCGCAGCGGGACTGGAAACGGCATGTAAACGCTAAGACATCTAACCAWTGACGAAGGCGCGAAATTTATTCGTTTATATAAATATAAGACCATGTACGAGTATGTATGTATGACGTGTACTGCATTTGTGGAAAGGGAATAGCAACAGCTGGTGGYGCGCATTAGGATATATACATGACATTGAACTTTTGGTCATACGTATCCTTGGCCCACACCAAGGATTCATCGCTGGTAATAGACAGCTGAGCTAAATATTGTTTTATGGTTCGGCAAAGCAAGGCAAAAATGTGTTGGCAATGCAGAGCCGGCTTATATGACGACTTGTAAATTGGACTTGATGTTTGTGTGGTGTGACGGTGCGTATGGGCAACATTAATTCGTTWAGCGCACATTCCAGTCACACCCAAAGTGCTTTGATGTTGTTGGTGTGGATAGGAAAATATTTAAATATTGCGGTTGATGAGCTAATAAAATSTTCAGTCAATGCAAATTATGCTTCGTCTGAGATTTGAGTTGGACTAGTTAATAGCATGTCAARCTTGAAGGGGTTAGACGAGTCTGTGAGAGTTTTCAAAATATCAACTTTTTGGCTTAAAGTTCACGATAGGCTTCTGAAAGCATTGTTCAGTCAATAAAATAGCGAARATTTTGTTTCGGATACTGCGAAATTGTAGAATCAGTGTGAAAAGACTGTGTTGGATCACTATTAAATTCACACATATGCCTCCAATCCGATGGGAGAAATAGTCTAAAATATTAAGAATGCATTTTTACAAATTTACTATTGCATTTTAATTTGCTGTGCCATCACAATTGAGTTTTGCTAATATGGTTGTGCACATAATGCCTGAAAGCAATATGAATACTAACAAGGCTAATTAAGGRTGTTGTTAAAGTAAATGTGTATAACATGTAACGAGATAATAGCACAATGATTTTTGCTTTACTTGAATGCACTCCTCTTGATTCCAAGTATTTTCTGCATAATTTTTTTGATAACCTATCTAAAGATTTAGTTCCCACTTCCAACTTTATATCGCTTTAATGTCGTTCGCACAGTTGGGTCTCTCTCTGTTGACAATATGGCGAATATTGCGTTTGCTTATGGATCAGCAACCGTATAAAGTTGTGCTTGCACATGTACTGAATACGGCAGACCATTTTAAGTGCCATGCCTTTGCCGATTTGGCATGTGAAATGATGGAAACCAACGACAGTTTTCATCGAAAAAACATCTACTTAGATGAGGCCCATTTCTCACTTAATGCTTTGGTTAGCAAACAAAATTGTCGCCATTGGGGGGGAGTTAGAAACCCCCATTCCATTATCAGTTATTWTTTCTTTGGAAATGAGCCAGAAAAATCTGTTAACATCAATAGCGAGCGTTATAACACGGTTTTAACCGAKACTTTTTCCAGGAATTTTGTTCAAGTCATAAATGGCATATTTGTGTGTTTTATTTAATTCTAACATTCGGTTGTTCTTGTTGGCAGACCCTTTATTTTGGTTAAAGGCCACCTATTTCAAAAACTTTTGTATTGAATATATTATTTTCTGGGGTGAATATGTGGTAAAAATGTGGACTCGGACAAACTGTGATTTCTTCTAAAAAAAAAAAAAAATTGGATTTTTATGGGTTCTGCTTTCATTGATATTTTTATATTTTCCAGTGTACTTTTGCCCATTTATCAAGGTTTTCTTGTACGAATAAATTCTTTCAATWCAACTTTATTGTAAAGAGTATGGTAAAAATATTAACAGGGTCCCTTACCGATTTTAATTAAGTTTGTCGCATAATGCTAACCTCTATRTTGAAATTAAGATCTTTATCCTTTATTCTACTTTCGTCGATGATTGGGAAAGAGATAAAATGCTAATATGAGAGGCAGGCATTTTTTAAAATTTTAATGTGTAATATAATAAAAAAATATGATAAGTTAAGAGCCCGAAAACTTTACATGAAACACATATAAGTAAAAATATTGTAAAYAAAATAATAATAAAAATATTGAAATTAAAATGCATACAGATACTTCAAAATATCATGTGAATATMAATTTTATTGCAACTCTCCTCCGTTGTGAATAAAATTGCAGTTATAAAATTTAAGAAGACACCATTAAAATTGATTAGCTACATACACCTGCTCGATGTACAACGAATTTAATGCGATTTTCAATAAGACCATAAACGCAGAAGCGCCAGCAAGCATGTTACCTGCACCGAAAGGAAATAAAAATTAAAAACGAGAACGAAAAAATAGCGAAGCGTTCTGTTCACCGTCTGGGAAATGCAATATCAATAAAGTGATAATTTATTCATATGATATTACTAATGRAGGGAGCGGCATACAGAGCCATGGCCGCCGAGCATAYAGACACCGAAACGACACCTGCCAGCTGTTGGCGTTGTTAGCTGTCAATGCAGCTGCAACTGTTGCCGCGCACGTTAGCTTATTTTTCAATTTAYAGAAATTCACTTTCAGCTTTTTTTCGATTTTTCCGTGTTTGCAAACGGATTCTTGAATTTCTGCTGCACAATCGCAAGGAACTTGTGCGCGCATTTCAGCATTTCATGACTGCTCACCTGGGGTGGAACGTCGATTACCATCAGCTCGCGTATGCAAGTGTCGCACACCAGACAGCTCTTGTAGATCTTTCTGCGCGTAGTGGTCTGATGTGTCTTCGGAAAGTCGTGGTAGAAGAATTGCTGMAACGAAAATGGAAGAAGTCTTGTAGTAAATAAATAGAGAAGCGCGTTATGGAATATATTTAAGTGCATAAGTTATAGCATTACAATTCTAATTTGATAGTATGAAGTATGAAATGTTGCTCATACGCAGTGGATGGCCCACATACACATGCTTATCAATTGTAATGTAATGAAATAGCATATAATTTTTGTTACGATGTAGAAATCAAAATACAAAACAGGTTAGTTTAAAAAAATGGTTAAAAAAATGTATAAGGTTGCCATCTGATGGAAAATTCAAAAATTATAGAATAAGGAAATTTTGAAAATTTGACTGATATGCATAAGAAAACTTTCTATTTGAAWTATGTTTTGACAGGGTTGCCACCCGTTTAAATCGGGACTCAGTAAARCTGCTAAAACAAATGWTTTAATGTAATATGGATATTAAATYAAAATAAATTTTAAGCTAAAAATATTTAGAAAGGATATAGCGGTGTTGCCACTTTTTTATAAGTTTAAATCATTAAAACTGATAAAGTAGACGTTATAAAAATTGTATTATCAATTACAATTATTAAACGGAAGGCATGTTTAAGGATTATATAAATATCAAATTATTATATATAATAGGTCAGTTTAAAAGAATTGTGCAGAAAAGCTTAGAATGTGGCCATATGTTTGAAATCTTTTTAATTGAAATAATAATAAAATTAATAAGTTTTAGAAACTGGAGACGCATTTAAATTTTGTGTTCAAAATATTTTTAAACAGGGTTGCCACCTGTTTCAACTGTAATTTTAAAAAGCTGCTGAATTTTATAAAAAATATTTATTATTATATTAATCCAAAAAAATTTAAGTAAAAAATATTTGTAGAGGATACATTTTTTGTTTAAAATATTTTTTGAGCAGGGTTGCCACCTGTTTAAATTGTAATGATGAAAAGTTGCTACATTTGATAAAAATTATTTATTACACCTGTATATTACACTAAAAAATTTGAAATAAAAATATAAAWACATAAGATATAGCGAAGTTGCCAACCGTTTAAAAATTTTCGTTCTTTAAAATTGGTTAAGTTAAGGTATATAGATTTCAAAATCTATATCGAACTAAGTTGATTGACTAATATTGAAAAGAATTTTAATGATAGGMAATTTTTGTATCGGGTAGATGGCGCAGTTGTGAATGGCATATTACCTAATACAACAATAGATAGTTTTTTGGATACGACAGGTACAGCAATTATCTAAAAATAGTTTAATGATTATGACTTGTCGATTTTTGTCTTGYCGATTGTTGGTTTTAACTTGAAAGATCTGATAGCATTATGTCCGATAGGTGCCGCYGCTGTACGAAATGTTAATGTCTCTGTATCGCCACGCAACAAATAACCGGAAATACGGTATTTCTAAGTTAAGAACTGTTTTTAAGAAGCGCAACTTACGAAGAAGGCTCTGTATATCTGCGTAACGACWGCACGAGTGCAGTAGTTTTTCCGTAAATAATTGTTACAGCTGCAATTATAATTCATTTGAACGATATTGACCACAGCAGTCAGCATTTAATTACCATAATTGCTTGTTAAAAGCATATAAACCCGCCTATTCGCGATTATTATCATACTCGTATGTAYATCGCTTAGTAATATTTTAATGTCTGCAAATCCTGTCTTTTGGCACGACACACACATCTCCATAAAATGTATTGATTTCAATTTCCAGCCATTCATAACATGGCTGCCGCTGTCAATATATTCAATTCTCGTGCGCCCGTTATTTGTGTTATTGCGCAATTTCAGCGCTTAACGGCACATTTATTGGTAAGCCCATTTATGGCCAGTGAGCCAAGAAATTGACTGGCTAAACGCAAATGACAAACATTTGTTTCTATGCGATCTCAARCATTTATGACATGGAATTCAATATAAAATACATATGAGTATATGTGTATGTGTGTGTGTATATATGTATGTATGTGAGTATATAGTAAGGGAATAAAAACCATCAGCTTCGAAGAAATGTAGCCTAAAGAAAATTGCTGATTCAATAGAAGAGCATAAAATATCATTTGCAGGAATGTAAAAACATACACATACACATATGTATGTGCACACAGATATATGTATGTATGTGTTACTATACGTGGGTTGATGATCTGAATACTTCCATATTGTCTCATTAAGCCACGCATTYTCTCAAATATATGTAGTAATGCAAAGAGAAGCACCTTGTATGTAAGGTATTTACATATAAACATACATTTCCACTTGAAAAACACCTAACCCCAGCGCTGAAAACACGCTGTTAACGTAAACGAAAAACAAGTTCGCATTTATGCGCAGGCATGCTSTGAGTCGGCCTAGGCGAGGCTTGCTGGCGCAAAAATATCACATTTCTCAGCTGTTGCGGCAGTTCATATGGGGAACATCTACATGAGCAATGACACATCGACGAACCTTCCTTCGATACAGACGCATTTATAACGGGTGAGCATTATTGGATAATATTCGATCGAATAGACCACGGTCAGCACGTAGTCAAGAAAATATAGCATCCGTAGAGGAGAGTGTACACAGAGACCATGGAGAGTCGATTCGGAGCCGTTCGCAGCAATTCGGACTGACGTATGGAACGACTTGGTGCATTTTACGTTGCTTCGCTCTATAGGCTCTTGAAATGTTCCAAGATGGTCCGATGTTGTCGAGCTAAATTTTGTTCACTAATGACGGCTGTTATCGCGCCATCATACCCGGCACATAATTTCATGTTTTGAGCCGGTCGATTGGCCACCAAGATTGTGTGCTGTTAATATTTTCTTTATTCTAATGTCTAAGTTTGATTTCCATGAACAAGACCATAGATATCAAATATTCTATAGCAGCGTTTCCCAAATGCCGGGTCGTGGCCCAGTACCGGGCCATCAAAATAAAAACCGGGCCGCAACATTCCCACCTTGTTTTTAAAATAACACCTACTATCGATCGATCGATACATCGCAATATTCGTAAGCGGAGATCGGCCGCACGTGCCACTTACCGCTGATGACTGACCTGAAGTTGAAACAAAAGAGCGAAGCGAAAGCTCAGCCAGAGAACTTAAAGATATAGAGAAGGTGCAAATTGAATTCTGTATGACATTCGATTGGACGGCTAACAGAGCTTATGGAATTGTAGCACGGAATTCWCCATTCTCGCTGCTATTTAGCAGAAATGAACACGTTCAAAGACAGAAATATATGTATAACKACTGAATTTATACGAGRATGAATAAAGAGAAATGCTTTGAAGATTTGCCAATATTCGATAATGATTATGATAATACTATTTATGAAGAGGTTTTGTTCTTTTTTTGTCCGAAGAAATATTTTACTTGATTAATGATTATATCAACAACAAGTAAGGAAGGGCTAAGTTCGGGTGTCACCGAACATTTTATAGTCTCGTAAATACCGTATTTGTGAAAAGTTTTATTCCGCTATCATCATTGGTTCCTAATGGATATATTATACAGAGAAGGCATCAGATGGAATTCAAAATAGCGTTATATTGTAAGAAGGCGTGGTTGTGAACCGATTTCACCCATATTTCGTACATGTCATCAGGGTGTTAAGAAAATATTATGTACYGAATTTCATTGATATCGGTGGAGTACTTCCTGAGATATGGTTTTTGGTCCATAAGTGGGCGWCGCCACGCCCATTTTCAATTTTCAAAAAAAGCCTGGGTGCAGCTTCCTTCTGACATTTCTTCCGTAAAATTTAGTGTTTCTGACGTTTTATGTTAGTCGGTTAACGCACTTTTAGTGATTTTCAACATAACCTTTGTATGGGAGGTGGGCGTGGTTATTATCCGATTTTTTCCGTTTTTGAACTGTATATGGAAATGCCTAAAAGAAACGACTCTATACAGTTTGGTTGACATAGCTATAGTAGTTTTCGAGATATGTACAAAAAAGTTAGTAGGGGCCGGGGCCACSCCCACTTTTCCAAARAAATTACGTCCAAATATGCCCCWCCCTAGTGCGATCCTTTGTGCCAAATTTCATTTTAATATCTTTATTTACGGCTTAGTTATGACATTTTATAGGTTTTCGGTTTCCGCCATTTTGTGGGCGTGGCAGTAGGCCGATTTTGCCCGTCTTCGAACTTAGCCTTCTTATGGAGCCAAGAAATACGTGTACCAAGTTTCATCATGATATCTCAATTTTTACTCAAGTTACAGCTTGCACGGACGGACGGACGGACGGACGGACAGACCGACATCCGGATTTCAACTCTWCTCGTCACCCTGATCACTTTGGTATATAYAACYYTATATCTGACTCTTTTAGTTTTAGGACTTACAAACAACCGTTATGTGAACAAAACTATAATACTCTCTTTAGCAACTTTGTTGCGAGAGTATAAAAATTAGAGTGTGATAGCAAAGAGGGAGAAAGAAATGAGTTGCGTGTTTAATTGGTTTTAAACTTTCAATTCTAAAGAGATAACTGAGTGGTRACAGATTTTGATCGGAGAACAGATGTTCAATAAAATATATATGATCTTTAAGRACTAAAACTCCCTTTTTGAACTAAGTGTGAAGAAACTCTCAAGAGTTGTTAGAATATTCCTAGCGGTACAGTCTACATACATACATATATGAACTAAACTTTCCACTAAACATACATAGTATTATGTATGTATATAAGTATGCATGTTGCAGCTCATTTGGGGAATTGCGTTTTCGAGACTACATGTCTTTCGCCTTTGTTGTTACCCGTTCTTTCCCCCAACCTACGCCTGTCTGTCTAGCACATCTTTCAAATTAGGATTTAAGTGAGTAAAAGCAGCATTGACACTTGTACTCTCGCACACATGCATTCATATGTGACCTACCATATATGAAAATTTGCGGGTTACAGTTTGCCTTTGGCCTCATCCATGACATTTGGCTGCGTTCCAAACGTGTCCGAAAATTGCTGACATGCGTTTTCTTATACGAGCAGAGTATATTCAAAGCGATTTTTTCCCATG